TACAGGGTGCGTGTACTCGCCATGAAGGAGACAGAGTGAAAGTGCCCCCCGGGAAGAGGGCCACCCTGCCATCCCTTCTCTGTCTCCCTCTCAGGATTTCGGTCATGTGCACACACGAGCCCAGTGTGATTTTTTTCAAGCCACCACGGCTGGGATGTGGTGAGACGTGCAGTCAGCCGTGTTTTCCAGCCATCGCCTTCACCACCCCTCCTCCTCTCTCTTTCTCATAAAAGAAAAAAAAATTTAAAAACAAAAGCCGACTAGATCCTTTTCATTCCTTTACATATTTTATCAGGTGGAACTGGAGTGAACTGAGGCCAGGATGCCAGGCACGACCCTAGGGACGAGTGGTGCTTGTCAAGGGGCATCTGTCCATCAGCTTGCCACAACGGAATCATGGACAGGAGACTTCGGGCACCCTGAGGTCCGAGTTCATCAGCGCCGTTCCGTACCCCCGTGAGCCAGATGAGTTGGCCTGGGCACTGTGACCACCGTGTGGGCTGGGATACATCCCGCTTCCGAAAGGACGTGAGACTGGCCGAGCACCCACCAGAGCTGTGGCCCTGTCTCCTCCCACAGGCAGGCGCTAAGCCAAGTGCTGCAGACGCAGGGGCAGGCAAGGGCGTGGAGCATGTCACCGAGGTCTGCTGCACCTCTGCTGTGACGTGTAATGCACCTGCTGCCTGGGGGGGGCGGGGCTCCTCTCCCTCCGCTCCCTCCCACTACAGAGACCTGGCCCTGGTACAGAGCAGCAGCTCTCCTCCTTTCAAGCAGCAGAGTTAACATTAGAACCCAGGTCATCTGAAAACCCACAACAATGCAGCCCTGTGCACCAGGGGACCCGAGTCAGGAGTGGGCACCTGTCCCTGACTCACTGACTCAGAGTTTTCCTCTTCAGATCTGACCCCGGGGCCAAGCTAAATCATCGATTAGGATACCTTGTTAGTAAACATCCGGCCTCCTTGTATGCAGCTGCTGGTAGCCAGAAGCTCTGCTTCTTTCAGGCCATTTTTTCCTTTTTTTTTCCAAGCACAGGATCTCACTATGTTGCCAGGGCTGGTCTCGAACTGGTGATCCTCCAACCTCACCCACCCTCCCCTCCGAGTAGCTGGGACTACGGGCTCATACCAGCACGCCCAACTTTATGCAGGTTTAACTAGAGGAGCATAGTGCACTGGAGAACGTTCACACTCCCCACTGCAGCTCTGAAGGGAATACCTGGATTACAGCAAGTTTTCTAAGAGGTTTCAGCTGTCTTGCAGAGATAAGACAGAATTCAACAACCAGGCATCTTCTTGCTCAATATTTCAACTCCAAATTGCATTGTAGGGTACGCTGCTTCAGTGAGTGCTCGAGTGGAAAGAAACTAGAAATGGGATGGAACCAGCCCCGTGGCCTAGTGGTCAAGAGAGCTACATTCCACACGGCCAACGATGTGGTTTGAATGCAGTTTGAATTCTGGCCCTGGCAGCTTGAAAAACACACCAGTATGTGTGTGACGTATGTGTATGACCGCCTAGAAAATCCCAGCAGGATGAAGAAATGGAGGCGAAGGGATTGCAGTGTGACCACACCCCATTGGGAGGTTCCTCTCTCCTCCCTCTTTCTGACAAACCCACATGCCCTCTGACTATATTTTTAAAGAATTTATTTAATTTTGTTATCACTATTATTTTTAAAATTTGCTATAGGGCAGGACCAGCAGTTGGCGTAATGGCTATGTCGCTGGACTCCCATAGAGTCGACTGTGGTTTAAGTTCCATACCCAGTGACTTAAACTCACGCCGGGTACGTGTGCGTGTGTGCCCAAGATCCCGAGAGGAGAATGGAAGAGAAGGGATTGCGACATGGCCATCCCCCCTGGGGGGTGATTTCTTGCTTTCTGTCTCTCTGGCAAGTGCACGTGCCCTATAGCAAAAACTTTTCAAAAAAAAAAAAAAAAGAGAGAAGACAGTGGGAGCCAGCAGGTTGCGTGATGGTTAAGGTGCTGGACACTCCCACATGGCCGATCACATTTGAGTCCCAGACCTAGTAGCTTGCTTTCTCAGTTTCTCTCTCTCTGGTCAATTAAAATAAACGAATGAGTAAATTAAATCGACTAAATTCTTAAAAAAAAAAAAAAAAAAGAGAGACAAAGAGAGAGAGAAGGCAGTCGGTTTCCTGTATTCATCCAGCTCAAGTTAGTTAGGACCGTAACTGCCTCGTCTGGACATCAGGACTCCTCTCCTCTGCACTTCTAGCACTCGTGAGTCTCTCTGAGGCAGGTGAACTCCTTTTGCACCTTGGCAGGGGAATCAAAATGAAGGCCGTGCTACTTCTTGTGAAAGCAGGGAGAACCTATTAGACCCAAAGGGCACACAGCCTGGGTCGGGCCACCCTTCCCCTGTGTGCTTCTCGGCACTGGGACAGGACTTGGCTCAAACTTCTGGATCTTGGAATTGAAAAGGCTGGATAAACATGTAATCCACGTGCATCCTCACAGAGGGGAGAAGTCCCCGCAACCTACCAGCAATAGCCAGAACACGGCATTTGAGAGGCTTACCTTCCCGTTTCCTGTAGATTCCGGCGAGCGGTTTCCCCTGGTATCTGACGTCATGATGTGCAACTGAGTTCTCTTCCTGAAGGGGGGAACGCATTCCAGAGTGTTTGTTCGGGCTCATGTAGGTATAGATCTTTGATTGCCCAGTAAATACATTCTCCTAAAAAGACAAATGCATATTCTGAAAGAGACTTAAAGAAGAAGACCCTACAGCCTTTAAGAGAGGAGGAGAAATGAGAACACAAAAGACAAAATAACGAATGGTTTTCGTCTCTCAAGAGCTGGGCTACCAGGGCACGTGAACCCTAGTTCTCTGGAGAGCCTGAGCAAGTGAGTCTTCCAGATCCAAGGGCAAGTTTCCTTAACACATGTGTCCACTGTTGGCAGCTCCTGCACATCTGGCCAGCAGGACCAGCTGCACGTACACAAAGCTCCATATGGGAAGGAGAGGCCCTACCAGTAGGGAGGTCAGACTGCGCCAGGACGGGCTGGGGCTGGGAACGGGAAGGGCTGGACTATGTTTGGGTGTCAACTGCCCTGGCTGGAGCTGCAGCGGCTCGGCAGACCAGGGAACCGGATTACCGACTTGGTCCTGAGGTCAGCAGGCGGGTAGGGCTGGCCTGTAACTACCTGCAGGAGCCCCTGCAGGAGCCCTGGGCGTGCCCAACCCTGGCCCCTCTCAAATCCCTGCAGCCCAGCTCCTCCCGGCCTGCCTGCGGTTAGGGGTTAGGGACGTCTCTCTGGGTGACTGGGGCAGTCTAATAAAAGCAGAGACCACAGCCAGCGGCTTTAGGGCAGGCTTGGCTGGGGGAGGGGACAGGCCGGTGGGGCAGCACAGGTCACTGCTCCCCTCTCTGGGTGTGGGGCCTCTCCTCCGACTCCGAGCAAGCACAGACGGGAGGAGGGCTTCCCCAGAAACAATGGTAGGCCTCGCTGCCGGGTGAGCCATTAGACTCCAAGTCAGCGCGCCCCCTGACCTCTGGAGAGACCCGGGCAGGCCCCGCACACCTCGGGGAAGCTGGGTCTTGCGTGGGGAGATGCCATAAAGACACCTCCAAACTTTTCCGAGGTCGAACACTGCCAGGGTCATGGCGGAGCCCAGAGCGGACGCCACTCCCCGCCAGGCAGCAGAAAAGGAAGCTGCCAGGCCTGGCG